AGGATATTAATTCAAGCTCCAGCAAACATCAGCTGATCAATATGAACAGACGTGATGCAGGGTGAACTCGGAGCCAAAAAGCAGAATATTTACTGTATTCTCAATAGCATGAAAGCAAAAAATGGAAGTTAAAGTTTAAGCAGAGTTGTTACACATGGTGCGTCATTCTCTCCAGGACACGCGTGAAAACTACATTTGATAATCATGAATGTTTATTATGCATTTGTAGCCTTTACTTTCTCTTTAGTAGAAATTAGGCTAATATAGCTCAATACATCTTGATTGCCCGTTGTCCCTTCATATAAGCCTTACTACAAGGGCTGTTATTTTTGTTTTTTGCGGCTCCAGACAGATGTTGTTTTAGTTTTCTTTTTGTTAATCGGCTCTTTGAACCTTTTGAGTTGCCGACCCCTGCGCTAACTCAAATGAAGCCCAATAGAGAAGAGTCATGGGCAAGGGTTATGTCCATCTTGCTCTGACTCCTATTGACTTAACAGAAAGCAGAGACCTCGAGAACTGGACTAACGTGATGGTGCTTCTGGTTTTACATAATCCATGTTTTTTTCATTGGTGTGAAGATCAGAGAATTCTCGCCTTTAAGGACAAAAAACGGTTTATCTTATCTTAGAGAAAGTTTGGGTTTTTTGGTGAGTGTAACACAAACGGTGCCCACACTCCCAAAAAACTCAACTTTCTCCTAAGAATAAGATAAAACCGTTGTTTGTCCCTTAAAGGCGAGAATTCTCTGATCTTCACACCAAGAAAAAAACCATGATTATGTAAAAAGGAAGCCACCATCTACGTTAGCTCCCGTTTCAGGTCTCGCTTTCTGTGTAAGTCAATAGGGAAGTCAGAGCAAGTTGGAAAACAAAAACCTTTGCCCTAGTGATGAAGACCTTCTCTATTGGGCTTCATTGAGTTAGCGCAGGGACGGCAACTCACAAAGGTTCAAAGAGCCATATTAGACAAAAAAAAACTAAAACAACATCTGTCTGGGCCCCACAAAAAAACAAAATTAACGCCTTGTATAGGCTTATATGAAGGTACCGCGGCATCAAGATGTATTAGGGGGTGGCCTTTTTAATACTTAGCCTAATAGCTAAATGACAAAGTAAAGGCTACAAATGCATAATAAACATTTCATGAAATATCTAATGTATGTTTTCACTGCGGGTCCTGGACGAGAATGAGCACCATTGTGACAAACTCTGCATATAACTTTAACTTCCATTTTTTTGCTTTCAAGCAATTGTAGAAAAACAGTAAATAAATCTGCTTTTTGGCTCGAGTTCACCCTGCATCACTGATCTGTTCATATTGTATCACAGGGCTGCAGTTTGCTGGAGCTGAATTAATATCCAGGCCACTTTCTTTCATGGTCTTTGCGGATGCGGATTTGAACTTCTGAACATAGGTGCTCTCGAATTTAGATGAATGAATCCTTCACGGTAATCACTGTGAACGGTGTTTAGCGCGTCATTGCTCTTCGGTGTTTGAAACAAACTTCTCATTATGACGCAGACATTAAGCAGCCCTTTCTCAGTGGGCTGATATGTTCAATCTTGTTCTTAGCTTTGGGATTCATGCCCACACGCCGGTTGTTTACAAACGGCGCCTGGCCGCCGACGGCTGCGTCACCGGTTATGAAGCACTACGATGACAGAAATGTTTGAAATGCGTACATAATGCCACAGCATTTAAAAACGTTCAGAATGTAATCCCTCCTACAAAATCCCACATTCAAATAGTGGAAATTAAAATATAGGCACTGCCACTCCCATTTTCAGAATTTTTGAAAAGGCACCAGGAGCACTCGAGGAGTCACTAAAAGGGCCGCAGGTTGCCGACACGAGTTAGCGGGTTAGCATACAGGCTATGACAAAAATGCATTTGTTTAGTCCCCTATCGTTCCAATTTTCTCCAGAATAAAGCATCCTGAAGAGGGTATTTGATTATTGTTTTTCTATCACAGAGATGGATTGTAGCTTGAGTCCTGATAGAACACGGAAGTACCATTCACATAAGTCCAGTTCTCAGGTCTCTCTCTCTCTATGAGGAGCACATGGACGGACTCCTGCTGGGACTCTGGAGCGAGCACCTGGACCGGACTCCTGCTGGGACTCGGAGGAGCACATGAGACGGGACTCCTGCTGGGACTCGGAGGAGCACAGGGACCGGCCTTCCTGTGGGACTCGGAGGAGCACAGGGACCGGACTCCTCGCTGGGACTCGGAGGAGCACAGGGACCGGACTCCTGCTGGGACTCGGAGGAGCACAGGGACCGGATCCTGTCTGGGACTCGGAGGAGCACCCAGGGACGGACTCCTGATGGGACTCGGAGGAAGCACAGGGACCGGACTCTGCTGGGACTCGGAGGAGCACAGGGCCCGGGACTCCTGCTGGGACTCGGAGAGCACAGGGACCCCGTACTCCTGTGGGAACTCGGAGGAGCACAGGGACCGGACTCCTGCTGGCGACTCGGAGGAGCACAGGGACCGGTCTCCTGCTGGGGGGACTTCGGATGGAGCACAGGACCCGGACTCTGCTGGGACTCGGAGGAAGCACAGGGAGCCGGACTCCTGCTGGCTGGAGGAGCACAGGGACCGGACTCTGCTGGGACTCGGAGGAGCACAGGGGACGGAACTCCTGCTGGGACTTCGGAGGGCACAGGGACCGGACCTCTCGCTGGGACTCGGAGGAGGAGCGCACAGGGACCGGACTCTGCTGGGACTCAGGTAGGAGCACAGGGACCGAGACTCCTGCTGGGACTCGGAGGAGCACAGGGACCGGACTCCTGCTGGGATCTCGGAGGGCACAGGACGGATCCTGCTGGGACTCGGAGGAGCACAGGGGACGGACTCCTGCTGGGACTCGGAGAGAGCACAGGGACCGGACTCCTGCCTGGGACAACTCGGAGGAGCACAGGGACCGGACTCCCTTGCTGGGACTCGGAGGAAGGAGCACAGGGACCGGGGACTCATGCTGGACTCGGAGGCAGGAGAACAGTGCACCGGACTCCCTGGAGGGACTCGGAGGGCACAGGGACCGGACTCCTGCTGAGGACTCGGGAGGAGCACTGGGGACGGACTCTGTGGGACTCGGAGGAGCACAGGACCGGACTCCTTGCTGGACTCGGCGGAGGCACAGGGACCGGACTCCTGCTGGGACTCGGAGGTGCACAGGGACGGCACTCCTGATGGGACTCGGAGGAGCACAGGGACCGGACTACTGCTGGGACTCGGAGGAGCACAGTACGGACTCTGTGGGACTCGGTAGGAGCACAGGGGATCCCCCCCGGGATCCTGCTGGGACTCGGGCAGGGGCAGGGGACCGGACTCTGCTGGACTCGGAGGAGCACAGGGACCGGGAGACTCCTGCTGGGACTCGGGAGGAGCACAGGGACCGGACTCCTGCTGGGGACTCGGATGCGCACAGGGACGGACTCCTGCTGGGGACTCGGCAGGGAGCAAAGGGACCGGGACTACTGCTGGGACCTCGTAGGAGCCCAGGGACCGGACTCCTGGCTGGGAATCGGAGCGAGCACAGGGCCCCGGAACTCCTGCTGGGACTCGGAGGAAGGAGCACAGGGACCCGGACTCCTGCTGGGATCGGAGGAAGCACCGGGACCGGTACTTCCTGCTGGGACTCGGAGGAGCACAGGTGGACCGTGATACTCTGCTGGGACTCGGAGGAGCACAGGGACCGGGACTCCTGCTGGGACTCGGAGGTGACAGGGACGGACTCCTGCTGGGAATCGGACTGGAGCACAGGGACCGGACTCCTGCTGGGCTCCGGAGGAGCCACGCGGACCGGACCCTCCTGCTGGGGATCGGAGGAGCGACAACAGGGACCGGACTCATGCCTGGGACTCGGAGGAGCACAGGGCCGGACTCCTGCTCGGGACTCGGGAGGAGCACAGGGACGGCCTCCTGCTGGGGCCTCGGATGGAGCCACAGGGGACCGGACTCCTGCTGGGATCGGAGGAGCACGGGACCGGACTCCTGCTGAGGATCGGAGAGGTAGCACAGGGGACCGGACTCCCTGCTGGGACTCGGAGGAGCACAGGGACGGACTCTGCTGGGCACACAGTAGGCAGCACAGGGACCGGACTCCGGCTGGGGACTCGGGAGGAGCACAGGGACCGGACTCCCTGCTGGACTCGGGAGGAGCACAGGGGAGCGGACTCTGCTGGGACTCGGAGAGCACAGGGAACGGACTCCTGCTGGGACTCGTGAGGAGCACAGGGGACGGTACTCCTGCTGGGGACTCGAGGCGCACAGGTACCGGACTCCTGCGCGGACTCGGAGCGAAGCACAGGGAACCGGATCTCCTGCTGGACTCGGAGGAGACAGGGACCGGACTACTGCTGGGACTCTGAGGAGCACAGGGACCGGGGACTCCCTGCTGGGACTCTGCGGAGCAAAGGGGACCAGGACTCCTGCTGGGACTCTGAGGAGCACAGCGGACCGGACCTCCTGCGGGGACTCTGAGGAGCCAGGACCGGCACTCTGCTGATGCCGAGAGTAAGGGACTAACATGAGGAGGCAGCTATAAGATTCATGCTGCTATAATACATAACAGTCTTCCTGCAAATGTGAGACAAGCTTCTTCTTGGCCAATGCTCAAAATCCAGTGTTGAAAACAGTTATCTGTGCCACAACGGTGGGGATTTTTATTCCACTCGTTATAATGTACTGTGATTATTTCTGATTTTAATACCTGTGTGATGGTTTCTATCATGTGTATGAACTGTGCTTACAAATTTAAACTTTCATGCCCAGGTTCAGTGCATATGACTTACCTTTGTGGAAGAGCTCCTGGAGGCTCTGCTGCGCTCTGGCTTCAGGCACCGCCCCCACACCTCCTCTTCCTGCAGAGACCTCCACGCCCTCACCAGAGCCTCAGCCAGCCAGGGACCGTGCATGATCCCTGCAACAAGAGAGCAGGAGTGAGAAGTCCTGGTCACCAAAACACATTTTATAAAGACGTTTTTTAAACGCTCTATTTGCAGTGAAGAAAATCGGAGGGATGACAGATGAACGATAGGATGGAGGGATGACAGATGAATAGGATAGGATGACAGATGAACGATAGGATGGAGGGATGACAGATGAACGATAGGATGGAGGGATGGACAGATGAACGATAGGATGGAGGGATGACAGATGAACGATAGGATGGAGGGATGACAGATGAACGATAGGATGGAGGGATGACAGATGAACGATAGGATGGAAGGATGACAGATGAACGATAGGATGGAGGGATGACAGATGAACGATAGGATGGAGGGATGACAGATGAACGATAGGATGGAAGGATGACAGATGAACGATAGGATGGAGGGATGACAGATGAACGATAGGATGGAGGGATGACAGATGAACGATAGGATGGAGGGATGACAGATGAACGATAGGATGGAAGGATGACAGATGAACGATAGGATGGAAGGATGACAGATGAACGATAGGATGGAGGATGACAGATGAACGATAGGATGGAGGATGACAGATGAACGATAGGATGGAAGGATGACAGATGAACGATAGGATGGAAGGATGACAGATGAACGATAGGATGGAGGATGACAGATGAACGATAGGATGGAGGATGACAGATGAACGATAGGGATGGAGGATGACAGATGAACGATAGGATGGAGGGATGACAGATGAACGATAGGATGGAGGGATGACAGATGAACGATAGGATGGAGGATGACAGATGAACGATAGGATGGAGGATGACAGATGAACGATAGGATGGAAGGATGACAGATGAACGATAGGATGGAGGGATGACAGATGAACGATAGGATGGAGGGATGACAGATGAACGATAGGATGGAGGGATGACAGATGAACGATAGGATGGATGGATGACAGATGAACGATAGGATGGAGGGATGACAGATGAACGATAGGATGGAGGGATGACAGATGAACGATAGGATGGAAGGATGACAGATGAACGATAGGATGGAAGGATGACAGATGAACGATAGGATGGAGGGATGACAGATGAACGATAGGATGGAGGGATGACAGATGAACGATAGGATGGAGGATGACAGATGAACGATAGGATGGAGGATGACAGATGAACGATAGGATGGAGGGATGACAGATGAACGATAGGATGGAGGATGACAGATGAACGATAGGATGGAGGGATGACAGATGAACGATAGGATGGAAGGATGACAGATGAACGATAGGATGGAGGGATGACAGATGAACGATAGGATGGATGGATGACAGATGAACGATAGGATGGAGGGATGACAGATGAACGATAGGATGGAGGGATGACAGATGAACGATAGGATGGAGGGATGACAGATGAACGATAGGATGGAGGGATGACAGATGAGACAGATAACGATAGGATGGAGGGATGACAGATGAACGATAGGATGGAGGATGACAGATGAACGATAGGATGGAGGGATGACAGATGAACGATAGGATGGAGGGATGACAGATGAACGATAGGATGGAGGGATGACAGATGAACGATAGGATGGAGGGATGGATGAACGATAGATGAACGATAGGATGGAGGGATGACAGATGAACGATAGGATGGAGGGATGACAGATGAACGATAGGATGGAGGGATGACAGATGAACGATAGGATGGAGGGATGACAGATGAACGATAGGATGGAGGGATGACAGATGAACGATAGGATGGAGGGATGACAGATGAACGATAGGATGGAGGGATGACAGATAAACGATAGGATGGAGGGATGACAGATGAACGATAGGATGGAGGGATGACAGATGAACGATAGGATGGAGGGATGACAGATGAACGATAGGATGGAGGGATGACAGATGAACGATAGGATGGAGGGATGACAGATGAACGATAGGATGGAGGGATGACAGATGAACGATAGGATGGAGGATGACAGATGAACGATAGGATGGAGGGATGACAGATGAACGATAGGATGGAGGGATGACAGATGAACGATAGGATGGATGGATGACAGATGAACGATAGGATGGAGGGATGACAGATGAACGATAGGATGGAGGATGACAGATGAACGATAGGATGGAGGGATGACAGATGAACGATAGGATGGAGGGATGACAGATGAACGATAGGATGGAGGGATGACAGATGAACGATAGGATGGAGGATGACAGATGAACGATAGGATGGAGGGACAGACAGATGAACGATAGGATGGAGGGATGACAGATGAACGATAGGATGGAGGGATGACAGATGAACGATAGGATGGAGGGATGACAGATGAACGATAGGATGGAGGGATGACAGATGAACGATAGGATGGAGGGGATGACAGATGAACGATAGGATGGAGGGATGACAGATGAACGATAGGATGGAGGGATGACAGATGAACGATAGGATGGAGGGATGACAGATGAACGATAGGATGGAGGGATGACAGATGAACGATAGGATGGAGGGATGACAGATGAACGATAGGATGGAGGGATGACAGATGAACGATAGGATGGAGGGATGACAGATGAACGATAGGATGGAGGGATGACAGATGAACGATAGGATGGAGGGATGACAGATGAACGATAGGATGGAGGGATGACAGATGAACGATAGGATGGAGGGATGACAGATGAACGATAGGATGGAGGGATGACAGATGAACGATAGGATGGAGGGATGACAGATGAACGATAGGATGGAGGGATGACAGATGAACGATAGATGGAGGGATGACAGATGAACGATAGGATGGAGGGATGACAGATGAACGATAGGATGGAGGGATGACAGATGAACGATAGGATGGAGGGATGACAGATGAACGATAGGATGGAGGGATGACAGATGAACGATAGGATGGAGGGATGACAGATGAACGATAGGATGGAGGGATGACAGATGAACGATAGGATGGAGGGATGACAGATGAACGATAGGATGGAGGGATGACAGATGAACGATAGGATGGAGGATGACAGATGAACGATAGGATGGAGGATGACAGATGAACGATAGGATGGAGGGATGACAGATGAACGATAGGATGGAGGGATGACAGATGAACGATAGGATGGAGGGATGACAGATGAACGATAGGATGGAGGGATGACAGATGAACGATAGGATGGAGGGATGACAGATGAACGATAGGATGGAGGGATGACAGATGAACGATAGGATGGAGGGATGACAGATGAACGATAGGATGGAAGGATGACAGATGAACGATAGGATGGAGGGATGACAGATGAACGATAGGATGGAGGATGACAGATGAACATAGTGAGATGACAGATAGGATGGAGGATGACAGATGAACGATAGGATGGAGGGATGACAGATGAACGATAGGATGGAGGGATGACAGATGAACGATAGGATGGAGGGATGACAGATGAACGATAGGATGGAGGGATGACAGATGAACGATAGGATGGAGGGATGACAGATGAACGATAGGATGGAGGGATGACAGATGAACGATAGGATGGAAGGATGACAGATGAACGATAGGATGGAGGGATGACAGATGAACGATAGGATGGAGGGATGACAGATGAACGATAGGATGGAGGGATGACAGATGAACGATAGGATGGAGGGATGACAGATGAACGATAGGATGAAGGGATGACAGATGAACGATAGGATGGAGGGATGACAGATGAACGATAGGATGGAGGGATGGCAGATGAACGATAGGATGGAGGATGACAGATGAACGATAGGATGGAAGGATGACAGATGAACGATAGGTTGGAGGATGACAGATGAACGATAGGATGGAGGGATGACAGATGAACGATAGGATGGAGGGATGACAGATGAACGATAGGATGGAGGGATGACAGATGAACGATAGGATGGAGGGATGACAGATGAACGATAGGATGGAGGGATGACAGATGAACGATAGGATGGAGGGATGACAGATGAACGATAGGATGGAGGGATGACAGATGAACGATAGGATGGAGGGATGACATATGAACGATAGGATGGAGGGATGACAGATGAACGATAGGATGGAGGGATGACAGATGAACGATAGGATGGAGGGATGACAGATGAACGATAGGATGGAGGGATGACAGATGAACGATAGGATGGAGGGATGACAGATGAACAATAGGATGGAGGGATGATAGATGAACGATAGGATGGAGGGATGACAGATGAACGATAGGATGGAGGGATGACAGATGAACGATGGATGGAGGGATGACAGATGAACGACAGGATGGAGGGATGATAGATGAACGATAGGATGGAGGGATGACAGATGAACGATAGGATGGAGGGATGACAGATGAACGATAGGATTGAGGGATGACAGATGAACAATAGTATGGAGGGATGATAGATGAACGATAGGATGGAGGGATGACAGATGAAAGATAGTATCGAGGGATGACAGATGAACGATAGGATGGAGGGATGACAGATGAACGATAGGATGGAGGGATGACAGATGAACGATAGGATGGAAGGATGACAGATGAACGATAGGATGGAAGGATGACAGATGAACGATAGGATGGAGGGATGACAGATGAACGATAGGATGGAGGGATGACAGATGAACGATAGGATGGAGGGATGACAGATGAACGATAGGATGGAAGGATGACAGATGAACGATAGGATGGAAGGATGACAGATGAACGATAGGATGGAGGGATGACAGATGAACGATAGGATGGAGGGATGACAGATGAACGATAGGATGGAGGGATGACAGATGAACGATAGGATGGAGGGATGACAGATGAACGATAGGATGGAGGGATGACAGATGAACGATAGGATGGAGGGATGACAGATGAACGATATAGGGATGATGAAGGATGACAGATGAACGATAGGATGGAGGGATGACAGATGAACGATAGGATGGAGGGATGACAGATGAACGATAGGATGGAAGGATGACAGATGAATGACAGGATGGAGGGATGACAGATGAACGATAGGATGGAGGGATGACAGATGAACGATAGGATGGAGGGATGACAGATGAACGATAGGATGGAGGGATGACAGATGAACGATAGGATGGAGGGATGACATATGAACGATAGGATGGAGGGATGACAGATGAACGATAGGATGGAAGGATGACAGATGAACGATAGGATGGAGGGATCACAGATGAACCATAGGATGGAGGGATGACAGATGAACGATAGGATGGAGGGATGACAGATGAACGATAGGATGGAGGGATGACAGATGAACGATAGGATGGAGGGATGACAGATGAACGATAGGATGGAGGGATGACAGATAAACGATAGGATGAAGGGATGACAGATGAACGATAGGATGGAGGGATGACAGATGAACGATAGGATGAAGGGATGACAGATGAACGATAGGATGGAGGGATGACAGATGAACGATAGGATGGAAGGATGACAGATGAACGATAGGATGGAGGGATGACAGATGAACGATAGGATGGAGGGATGACAGATGAACGATAGGATGGAGGGATGACATATGAACGATAGGATGGAGGGATGACAGATGAACGATAGGATGGAAGGATGACAGATGAACGATAGGATGGAGGGATCACAGATGAACCATAGGATGGAGGGATGACAGATGAACGATAGGATGGAGGGATGACAGATGAACGATAGGATGGAGGGATGACAGATGAACGATAGGATGGAGGGATGACAGATGAACGATAGGATGGAGGGATGACAGATAAACGATAGGATGAAGGGATGACAGATGAACGATAGGATGGAGGGATGACAGATGAACGATAGGATGAAGGGATGACAGATGAACGATAGGATGGAGGGATGACAGATGAACGATAGGATGGAAGGATGACAGATGAACGATAGGATGGAGGGATGACAGAAGAACGATAGGATGGAAGGATGACAGATGAACGATAGGATGGAGGGATGACAGATGAACGATAGGATGGAGGGATGACAGATGAACGATAGGATGGAGGGATGACAGATGAACGATAGGATGGAGGGATGACAGATGAACGATAGGATGGAAGGATGACAGATGAACGATAGGATGGAGGGATGACAGATGAACGATAGGATGGAGGGATGACAGATGAACGATAGGATGGAGGGATGACAGATGAACAATAGGATGGAGGGATGACAGATGAACGATAGGATGGAGGGATGACAGATGAACGATAGGATGGAGGGATGGCAGATGAACGATAGGTTGGAGGATGACAGATGAACGATAGGATGGAAGGATGACAGATGAACGATAGGATGAAAGGATGACAGATGAACGATAGGATGGAGGGATGGCAGATGAACGATAGGTTGGAGGATGACAGATGAACGATAGGTTGGAAGGATGACAGATGAACGATAGGATGGAGGGATGACAGATGAACGATAGGATGGAGGGATGACAGATGAGCGATAGGTTGGAGGATGACAGATGAACGATAGGTTGGAAGGATGACAGATGAACGATAGGATGGAGGGATGACAGATGAACGATAGGATGGAGGGATGACAGATGAACGATAGGTTGGAGGATGACAGATGAACGATAGGTTGGAAGGATTACAGATGAACGATAGGATGGAGGGATGACAGATGAACGATAGGATGGAGGGATGACAGATGAACGATAGGTTGGAGGATGACAGATGAACGATAGGTTGGAGGATGACAGATGAACGATAGGTTGGAAGGATGACAGATGAACACATCCGAAGAGTTCGATGATATTAAAAGGTCACTTGAGATTCTTTCTGAGGATATTTCTTTTGTTAAAACGCAGCAAAAGGAGATTTTGTCAAAGAGGTGAAGACATAATGCGGCCTCATCGAGGAGATGGCTCTGGAAAGGAAGGTGACGGATTTGGAGCAATACACAAGAATGAACGACGCAGTTGTATCTGGGCTGAACCTCAAACCCCGGTCTTTAACCCGGGCGCTGTCCTCGAACAACAGAGGCGAGCCCGAGGGGCAACAAGTCGCTGCTTTTTTGAAGACGAAGGGGAACGAACTGGATACAAACAGCATTGAAGCGTGTCACCCGCTGCCCAAGAAAAACACCTCCGATAAACCCTCAGTCATAATGATGTTTGTTAACAGGAAAGACAAATCAGCATTGCTCAAGCAAAGATACAAACTCAAAGGGTCAAAGGTCTTTTTAAATGAGCACCTGACCAAATACAATGCGGATATAGCATGGAGAAATTTCCCGGTACTCGAGAAAACAACAACAAATCCAGAAGACATGGACGACAAGCTGTAAAGTGTTCATCAAGTTGAAGAGGAACCCAGAAGAAGCTGAGGTCCTACTGATCAGGAACATGGAGGAACTGGAGAAGTACGAATGAATATATGGGGATCTGAGGTAACAGACACATGACCCGCAGTCAGACGACTCCTCAGTGTTTTAGAATAACAGTTTAACTGAATCAATACTCGACTGTGAGAATATGGAACTAAAATGTTCACAATATACTGAGCAGAACATGATATAGACAACAACTTCTTTTCTTCCCTGAATAATAACTGTGGCTATTATAGTGAGGAGCAATTTGTCAACTCCATAAAAAGTGCGGGGAAACTCTCAATAATTCACTTTAACAGTAGGAGCCTTGACACAAACTTTTAAAATACGAAGGACTATTTACAACAACTGTCACATCCATTTAGTGTCATTGCCATTTCAGAAACTTGGCTTTCAGAAGGAAAAGAGATGAACTGTGAACAGAAGGTTATGAACTTAACCACTTGAACAAAGTGGGGGAGTGTCTTTGTATGTGGAACACTGAGGTATAAGGTACTTGGAAACATGACACTGGGATGTATCACAGTTCAAATGCATGGAAACAAGTACAAATGTCATTATTAGCTGCTGATACCGAGCACCAGGCTCCAGCATTGATGAGTCTGAAAAAAGGCTCGAAAAAACTTTCTCTCAAAACTGTAGTAAACGTTTTGACCTTTTAGATCCACACCAGCTCCAGGAACGCAGGATTTCATTAACACTGTGTATCGTCTGAACCTTTACCAAAATAACCAGGCCTTCGAGGATCACTTCACACTCAGCCTCTCATTGATAACACACTAATCACACTGATAATAATTATTTAAGTGGATTATTAATCACTGACATTGATCATTTTCCTATTTTCCCAGTAACTGATCAGTTTCAATAGAACATTTTGTGAGAAAATACTAAAGGCGAATAAAATCTGAAGAAGCCATTGCTGCTTTAAAAAATGATCTGATTTCACAGGATGCCAGATACTACCCCTGGATAACAAAAGTGTCCAAAAGGCAGAGATAAAAACATGCTACACAGGGAACTCATGAGAAGAAAACCAAAGGAAGCAGAGATTAAATACAAAACATATCAAACAAATGAACTGTTATACTGTGAGAGGAGTACTTTAGAAAACTGCTTTATGATAACAAGAACAATATGAAGGAAATGTCCTGAAGATTTTATTGTCGCGAATAGTTTTAATACTTTTGTTTCTCACGTTGGGCCAGAAAATCCCTAAACACACATGGGTCAACCATGATCTTATAGAAATGCACAGTCAATGTTCCTTTGGCCTGTGGATGAAAGGGACTTTATTAATATAGTTCTAAAATGTTAAAGTAACAAACCAACTGATGGGGGCGCTCGTGAGCAGTGGTGGAGTCTTCACTACTTTTCAACATTTTTGCTACACTCAACTTATTATTTTACACTGAGCATTCTCTTAAACAGTTGTAAGTCAGATCCTGCGGCTTTGGTGACCATGCCTCCCAAGAAGGACGACGTACTGAGCCAGAAGTCTGCGGCGGCTAGCAGCGATGCTATATTAGCTGCTGTTAACAAGCTAGGGGCTGAGTTAGCTAAAGTCTCGCAGCAGGTGGATGGCATACAAAAGTCCATGGAGGAGCGCCTGGACACGACTGAGAAACACCTTTCAACTCTGCAAAATGACCACAGCCAAACACAACAACGCTTGGAGGAGACGGACGTGACATTTTCCCAGGTAGATGTCCGCCTTTCGGAATTGGAGGCGACCTGCGCTGAGCTACAGGCTGCTAATGCGCTCAAAGCTAAAATGAATGATCTGTAGGGGCGCTCTCGGAGGCATTAAAGAGGACGAAGAAAAGGGAAATCCTTCGAGCTTTGTGACACGGTTAATTCCGAATTGCTTGGGCAACAGAACTTTTTAAAGCCGGTTAAGACTGACGGCGCACATGGCGCTCTCAGGCTGAAGCCACAGGATCATGAGCGCCCACGGGTCATTATCGCCAAGATCCATAATGACCGCGACATCGCAGCATTCTTCAAACTCAGCAGAAGGCTCCGCTCCGGTACAAAGGCAACAAAGTCTTTACACTGCGGAGGTGTCGTCACAGCGTCAGGCGGTCAACACCGTGAAGAAGAAGCTGACGGACGCTGGGGCAAGGTGCACGCTGCGTTTCCAACTCAACGTTAATTACAACAACAAGGTCCAAGTATTGAGCACACCGAGTGAGGCCGAGAGGTTCGCCAGCTCCCTCTCTGCTCATCCCTGACTGTCAGATTGCATTTGTGTTGAAGTGACTTGGAGAACCGCCTATTTTCTTTTCAAATGATTCTGATCGGACATCTTTAAAATGCTCTTACATTACTATGAGTGTAGCTTTTATGTGATATAATCTTTATATTTGAAGACTGCACAGTTAACTGTCATCAGTCATTGAGCTCCATTACCCAGCAGTCTCCTGTGTACGAGGGAACGCCGCCTTGTTTGGTTTTTAATAAGCGGCTCATGGGGTGGAGTGTTCTTTGTTTTCCTGCCATTGTGTCTATAATGACTTATGTCTCAGCCCTTTCTATTGATACATGTTTAGATGCACATGTCACGCTCTGAGTCCTCTCACTTTGACCTCACTGCAGAGCTCTGGGTAAAGCTCTAAAGAAGGGAAAAGTATTTATGCATTTAAAGAAGCTGTTTTCTGATATCATTTTCTTACAGGAGACGCACATTTGTCTGAACAGAACTGAGCAGAACTGAGCAGAACTGAGCAGAACTGAACAGAACTGAGCAGAACTGAACAGAACTGAGCAGAACTGAGCAGAACTGAACAGAACTGAACAGAACTGAGCAGAACTGAACAGAACTGAACAGAACTGAACAGAACTGAACAGAACTGAACAGAACTGAGCAGAACTGAACAGAACTGAACAGAACTGAGCAGAACTGAACAGAACTGAGCAGAACTGAACAGAACTGAACAGAACTGAGCAGAACTGAACAGAACTGAACAGAACTGAACAGAACTGAACAGAACTGAGCAGAACTGATTGAGGGCACAGTGGGTATCCCCAGTTTATCGGTCCAGGTTTTCTTCGAAGGCTGGAGGGGTGGCAGTCCTGACCCTTTGTCTTTAACTCCACGGCGGCTGATCCAGGTGGAGGTACTGTATTACTTGTAATGGGTACTATTAATTCATTCCCTTTAGTTCTTTTAAACATATCTGCTCCCAATGTTGACAGTCCGGACTTTTTTCACAAGGTCTTCCGTCTTGTTGCTGACCATGTCAATCAATCAATCAATCAATTTATTTGAGCCGGTCATACAAAACAAAAAACCATCCAATAGGAAAACATTTCAAGAAAAAGTAGACACAGCTCAAAGGGAGAGAGCTCAAAGGGAGAGAGCTCAAAGGGAGAGAGCTCAAAGGGAGCGAATTCAAAGGGAGTGAGCTCAAAGGGAGAGAGCTCAAAGGGAGAGAGCTCAAAGGGAGAGAGCTTAAAGGGAGAGAGCTCAAAGGGAGAGAGCTCAAAGGGAGAGAGCTCAAAGGGAGAGAGCTCAAAGGGAGAGAGCTCAAAGGGAGAGAGCTCAAAGGGAGTGAGCTCAAAGGGAGAGAGCTTAAAGGGAGAGAGCTCAAAGGGAGTGAGCTCAAAGGGAGAGAGCTCAAAGGGAGTGAGCTCAAAGGGAGAGAGCTTAAAGGGAGAGAGCTCAAAGGGAGTGAGCTCAAAGGGAGAGAGCTTAAAGGGAGAGAGCTCAAAGGGAGAGAGCTCAAAGGGAGAGAGCTCAAAGGGAGAGAGCCGAAGTAAAATACTTTCCCCAATTTCATTTTCATTGTGTGTGTGTGTTGTGTGTGTAGTGTGTTGTGCGCAGTGTGTTGTGTGTGTGTGTCAAAGTGGGTACACATGCATGTGTGTATATGTTTGTTTATGATAGTGCATGAGTGCTGTGTCTATTTGTATGTGTACTTGTGTTTAGGCCTGGGTATAAGTGTGTGTTTATGTTTGTGTGGATGCACCCAGATGGAAATGTGTGTGTGCGTGTGCGTGAGTGGGTATATGCATCTGTGTGTGTGTGTGCGTGAGTGGGTATATGCATCTGTGTGTGTGTGTGTGCGTGAGTGGGTATATGCATCTGTGTGTGTGTGCGTGTGTGTGTGTGTGTGTGTGCCTGAGTGGGTATATACATCTGTGTGTGTGTGTGTGTGCCTGAGTGGGTATATGCATCTGTGTGTGTGTGTGTGCCTGAGTGGGTATATGCATCTGTGTGTGCGTGTGCGTGTGCGTGTGCGTGTGTGTGTGTGTGTGTGTGTGTGCCTGAGTGGGTATATGCATCTGTGTGTGTGTGTGTGTGTGTGTGTGTGTGTGTGTGCCTGAGTGGGTATATGCATCTGTGTGTGTGTGTGTGTGTGTGTGTGTGTGTGTGTGTGTGTGTGTGTGTGTGTGTGTGTGTGTGTGTGTGTGTGTGCCTGAGTGGGAATATGCATCTCTGTGTGTGTGTGTGTGTGTGCCTGAGTGGGTATATGCATCTGTGTGTGTGTGTGCACATTTGTTAGCCATGAGCATATCCAGAAGTGTGTTTGCATGTACTACACATGTGTGTGTCCCCAAGCTTCACACATGCGTCCACACCCCTCAGTGTCTGAGCACGTGCACGCGTCCACACCCCGTAAGCGTGCACGTGTCTACAGCGTGCACACACCTGACGCAGCGTGCACGTGTCTACAGATATTTACAGGATAAGATCACCTGCATATTCTCACATAAGGTCATTATTCAGTAAACAGAAAGTCCAAGCAGGAGTTAGTACTGCAGGAGTTAGTACTGTAGGAGTTAGTACTGTAGGAGTTAGTACTGCAGGAGTCAGTACTGCAGGAGTTAGTACTGCAGGAGTTAGTACTGCAGGAGTTAGTACTGTAGGAGTTAGTACTGTAGGAGTTAGTACTGTAGGAGTTAGTACTGCAGGAGTTAGTACTGCAGGAGTTAGTACTGCAGGAGTCAGTACTGCAGGAGTTAGTACTGTAGGAGTTAGTACTGCAGGAGTTAGTACTGTAGGAGTTAGTACTGTAGGAGTTAGTACTGTAGGAGTTAGTACTGCAGGAGTTAGTACTGCAGGAGTTAGTACTGCAGGAGTCAGTACTGCAGGAGTCAGTACTGCAGGAGTTAGTACTGCAGGAGTTAGTACTGCAGGAGTTAGTACTGCAGGAGTTAGTACTGCAGGAGTCAGTACTGCAGGAGTCAGTACTGCAGGAGTTAGTACTGCAGGAGTTAGTACTGCAGGAGTTAGTACTGTAGGAGTTAGTACTGTAGGAGTTAGTACTGCAGGAGTTAGTACTGCAGGAGTTAGTACTGTAGGAGTTAGTACTGCAGGAGTTAGTACTGTAGGAGTTAGTACTGCAGGAGTTAGTACTGCAGGAGTTAGTACTGTAGGAGTTAGTACTGTAGGAGTTAGTACTGAAGGAGTTAGTACTGCAGGAGTTAGTACTGCAGGAGTCAGTACTGCAGGAGTTAGTACTGCAGGAGTTAGTACTGTAGGAGTTAGTACTGTAGGAGTTAGTACTGCAGGAGTTAGTACTGCAGGAGTTAGTACTGCAGGAGTTAGTACTGTAGGAGTTAGTACTGCAGGAGTTAGTACTGCAGGAGTTAGTAATGTAGGAGTTAGTAATGTAGGAGTTAGTACTGTAGGAGTTAGTACTGTAGGAGTTAGTACTGCAGGAGTTAGTACTGCAGGAGTCAGTACTGCAGGAGTTAGTACTGTAGGAGTTAGTACTGTAGGAGTTAGTACTGCATGAGTTAGTACTGCAGGAGTTAGTACTGCAGGAGTCAGTACTGCAGGAGTTAGTACTGCAGGAGTTAGTACTGCAGGAGTTAGTACTGCAGGAGTTAGTACTGCAGGAGTTAGTACTGCAGGAGTTAGTACTGCAGGAGTTAGTACTGCAGGAGTTAGTACTGTAGGAGTTAGTACTGCAGGAGTTAGTACTGCAGGAGTTAGTACTGCAGGAGTTAGTAATGTAGGAGTTAGTAATGTAGGAGTTAGTACTGTAGGAGTTAGTACTGTAGGAGTTAGTACTGCAGGAGTTAGTACTGCAGGAGTTAGTACTGCAGGAGTTAGTACTGAAGGAGTTAGTAATGCAGGAGTTAGTACTGTAGGAGTTAGTACTGCAGGAGTTAGTACTGCAGGAGTTAGTACTGCAGAGTAGGATATCTACTGTGTACGCAGTACGAGTTAGCAGGTTTGGCTGGACTAGTGAGAAAGCAGAAGTTTCATAACAGATTTACAGTCCTTCTTCAGCTTATGTACGCTTACTTTATACAGTCTTTTGAAATTCACTAATTCACTAATTCACTAATGAGGAAGTACATTTAAGACAATCCGTTAATTCATTCCATAAGTCCACTCCCCTTCAGGAACATGTTTTATAAAGTACGAACACGCTGCTTCTTAAAGTCCAGTTGGATTGTAACAGATTGTATCAGATATCAGATTGTATCAGATTACATCAGATTACGTCAGATTGTATCAGATTGTATCAGATTACTTCAGATTACATCAGATTGTATCAGATTGTATTTGAGTCCGTTTCAAGGAACAGCTTTTGTTTGTAATGTTTTATATTCACCAAGATCTTCAAACGTCATGATCTTAGATTACAGAAGCAGGCTTGTGTGTCCAGGAGATGTGTGTAGTAAACTGTGTGCGACGCTCTTGTAGATTGTAGTAATTGTAGATCCATGGGAGAGACCAGTGCAGACCAGTATAGATCCATGGGAGAGACCAGTGCAGACCAGTATAGATCCATGGGAGAGACCAGTGCAGACAGTATAGATCCATGGGAGAGACCAGTGCAGACCAGTATAGATCCATGGGAGAGACCAGTGCAGACAGTATAGATCCATGGGAGAGACCAGTGCAGACCAGTATAGATCCATGGGAGAGACCAGTGCAGACCTGTATAGATCCATGGGAGAGACCAGTGCAGACCCGTATAGATCCATGGGAGAGACCAGTGCAGACCAGTATAGATCCATGGGAGAGACCAGTGCAGACCTGTATAGATCCATGGGACCAGCGTGCCAACATGTCGGCTCTGATGTGAGTACGAGGCTCCTGAGCATTTGTAGGATTTGTACCTCAGAGAAATTCTGGACACGAGAAATATTCATAATATTCATTCGAGAATGAGGCCCAATCATAGACGTCGGAACTAGGGGTGCGGGGGGTGCGGCCGCACTCCCTCCGCGTGTGCCGGGAGCGAGAAGTTATCACTATCCTGCGTTCCTT